CGAGCTGCGCGCCTCACGTGCCGGGAATGGAGAAGCGGAAGCGCCTGCGGGGCTTCCGGACTCGGTGCAGGTGGAGACCAGGAGCGCACGTGCTCCCAGCACGCGGTCTCTGAATTTGCATTCGGCCAACATACACCTTTTAACTGGGAGACGAGAGAGGAGGGAAGGGCGGGGCCTTTTTCCAGCGGCTGCTGGGAGCCGCGTTCACGTCCTCGTGTGCGTCTTCTACACATTTACTACGTGGGACTGAAAACGCAAGGAAGGCCCGCCTCCCCGTGAAACATGAAAGGCCCCTGAGACAGCGGGGCCGGAGGCGCGCTCAGAGCCCACGCGCGTCTCCGGGGCCGGCGCTTACATTGGTGGAACACAGCTCCATCCTCTTCTCTGCTGGGTCCACGACAGAGCGCTCCTGGACGTACGTCATGGTCCTGCCGGTCCCCAAAACCTGAAACAAAGCGGCACTAGCACAGCGACACGCTCAAAGCGGCTTTTTACCCCACCGCCCCTCCCCATCAGGGGCTCTCTCTTCAACTGGGGGCGCAGGTGCGGCGCCTTCAGGCGCTTCTGCCGCAGGTGGGACGGATGGACAGGGGCGTGATGGAGCTTCGACTGAGGAGGAAGCCGGCGGGGGGCAGGTCAGCCGTGGGTCGACCCGCCCCCGCCCCCCCCGCAGTGCGGATCGGAGTCAGCTCCGGGCCGCACCTGGTGGCGCAGGAGTTGGGGGGGGCCGTTGGGGGCGGCGGACCCCGCAGGTGGTTTAGGGGGCGTGCTGAACCGCGCAGGTGGATGATTAACTCAACCGACAGAGAAACAAACCATATCTCGGGCTTCCCAGAAACCCCCAAACGGGAAGGTTGTCACTTCTTGCATATAGGTGCCAGCCTGGTGGCGGGTGTAGACCGGCCACACGGCTGTAGCCGGGCTCAGCTGCGGGCTCACCGCTCTCACGAGGCCGGGCAGCCCCCACTCGGTGCTGAGGAGGCGGAGGCTGTGAAGCCGGCCCTGGGCGTCCACACTGCGCTCCAGCACGTCCACGCCCACCACACAGGGGTTCATCGGATTCGGGTACTTCCTCATGGCAGCCTTGATGACCGTGTCCCACGGGTGGCTGGAGGGAAGCATGACCACCAGTATGAGTGACCCAGACCCCTGGTCCCTGGTCCCTGGTCCTCCTGGGACCAGGGGGCTGTGGGGGGCAGACCAGGCTCAGGTCATGCCCTCCCAGGGCTGTGCGTCCAGCTTGGCCGAGGCCCCCAGATCCTAAAGATGCAGAACTTTTGGTCTGGGGCTTCTGGGCAATGAGACAATGTCTGGCTCCCCTGCCAGTCACCGCCCGCAACCCCTCTGCTCCGCGGATGGAACACAGGGCGGTGACTGTTCCCACCTCCCGCTGCAGTGGACGAAGGCGCAGCTGGCCCGCCCAACCGTGTCCTGACCCCTGTCACACCTGTGGCTCCTCCACAGGGCAGATGACACCCACCCGATGCCCCAGCACTGATGTCCACAAGCTGCTACTTTGTTCCAGCTTCTAAGGGGTCTGTAACTTGAAACGGCTACGTATTTTTCTGATTGTAAACAGTGTATTCAAATTTTGGGAAAATACGAAAAGCATGCAGAAAACAAAAGCGCCCACAATTCCACCCCCCCGAAGACGGGTCTGTGGGAGTCCCCAGGGTGTCCTCGTGCTGGCCCTGGGCCCTGGAGGTGAGGGGTGGACGCTGCTGTCCCTGTGTGCTGCCTGCCCTCGGGGAACTCACAGCTGGCCCCGCCTCCTGGACTCTGTGCCCTTTAGGCTGGAAGCCCGAGGCCGCCCAGGGCTCGGAGTCCGGGCACTCAGGGCGCAGCTTCCTGAGTCTCCCTTCAGAGCTCGTGCTCCCAGGAGACGCCGCACGGACCCCTGCAGAGTCTGTGTGTCTCAACACCACCATCCATTGCCCAGACTGAACAGTAGTGCAGACACGCTTACAAGCTACACTGGGCTCCCACTGCCCAGGCCACTGACCGTCCACGTTGTGTAGTTCACAGACGGTGAACAGTTCCTGCAGCGTGAGGCTGTCCTCAGAACTGTGATTCTAAGTAACCACACGGCGGGTCAGCCTGCAGGCGGGGATCTAACCAGTCCCTTCAGGCAGGTAATTCTGGTCGCGGCCAACTTTCAGGGTAAATTTCTAAAATGGAATTACTAAATTAAACAGCAAAGATTATGAACATATTGAAAGTTTTTGTTCCACATCTGACGTTCTTTCCAATGTAAACTATTGACCATGAATTTACTTTATCCTCATAGACAGAATGCTCATCCTAGGTCAAAAAGTTAGCCACAAACCCCAGACTAGAGCCAGGCACCCAACCCCTCCCCCATGTCACATCCCACGGGCTCTCCCCACCCCCGGTCAGCTCTAAAGGCCCTCTTTAACACAGAAATGCTTTCTCAAACCATGGAATCATGCCACTGAGCTGACGCATGGCATCCACTGGCTTTAACGCAAAGGGATAAAGAGGCACAGAGGAGGATGGTCCTGCTCACACTGCAGGGGACACGGAGCCACCTTCTCTGGGGAAGAACTGTCAGGGCCTGGACAACCAAGATCTAGGGAAGGAGAGAGCATCACATCCACAAGGGTGGGGTCGGGGGGCTGCTCAGCGAAATGAGCTGCGAGCTTTGCAAGTCGAGTTCTCCGGAGCAGTTCCCATAAAACCATTACTTCCAGCACAACAGGCTATGCCTTCTTAAAATCACTTAAAACTATCTAAGTTGACAAATATTTCTATTTAGCATATCTCACACAATACTGCTTTTATGTAGAAATCTTGCATCTTTCTGACAGATGATTTCAACTGAAAACAACCTACTTAAAACACATAAAAAATAATTCCAGACAAAAGAACCACGGAGAAAAAGTGCAAACAAGAACATTTTTGAAATTACAAGGCTCAAGCCCACAAGTCAGTATCACACTCTTCTTGCTTAAAGAAAACAGTCCGATACTCACTCGGCTGACAAAAGCCGAGAAGTCTGGTGCTGCCGGTGCTGGCAAGAGCCAGGGAGTGGGAAGCCAGGCCCACGGGTGGACATGAACTGCCCCCCACCGAGACCCTGTGTAAGGCAGAAGGGGACTTGCTGGAGACTCGTCCTCGGGATTCGGGTCCTGACCTTGGCAGTGGTGACCTTGGCCGAGGCTCACAGTGGCCACGGTGTCCAGTGCTCGCCAGGGAGGGGGCAGGAGGGGAGAGCAAGGCCACTCCCCACACGGCCAGATGCCGGGTGTGGGAGGAGGAAGTGGCCTGAGGTCAGAGGGTGCCTGGTCCTGCTACGACCCCCCCAGCGAAGGAGCAGCAGGCATGCGAGACCCCACAGCTGGGAGAGGGGCCTGGCCCTCGTTCCTCTGGTCTCCACTTCTGCAGGCTTTTGAAACAACCACAATAACGAGTCAAAAAAGCAGTAAGATGAAGGCGAAGTGCCTAGACCTTCCGGGAGCTGTGCCTGGGGAGCTGCTGGAGGGCTGCCCACCCCCAACACCCGAGAGCCTGTCCTCTCCCCAGAGCGGTCACTGCAGGAAGCCCATCGCCTCCAGGTCCATCCCGGGTGAGAAGGTAAAAGCACCCAAGTTCCTCTGCACGAGGACATGGGGATATGAGGCCATGCTGGTCCAGAGCGCAGGGCGCAGACTGGTTACTCAAAGCAACCGGGCTCCTGCGCAAAGATGAAGGAGGCGGGCCTGTCACTTGGCAGGAAACACTGCACAGCATCTGCTGCCAAAGATAAAGCTGGAGCTTCCAGGTGAAAACTGGGTTCCAGGAAGCCTGCATCACCGTTGGGGCCTGACGCTGGCCTGGCGGCACCTGGTGACCCACACATCCAAGTGACGCTGCGGTCATCACAGATCACATAGGAGACTCACTCAGCTACAGCCCAGTCAGGCTGGTCCTCGTGGGTGTCAGACTCCACACCACTATGACCTTGACAAGTCTGCGTGCTCTGCAGCAGCAGCGAAGAACTGCCTCAACTATTTACAAAGACCGCTGAAGTCCTCCCACGCTTCCCAGATGGGCTTTATTCCCAGACCGCGGGGGACTGGGTTTTAATCACTTACCTCGACCGAAACAACGGGCTGCGGACACTGAGCGCAGAACAGACGTGGGCATCAAGTTATCTTCCGTTCAGCCAACATCACAGAAATCGGCAAAAAGTAAATAAAACAGTAGCACTCTATTTGGTGGGGGTTAGAAACCATAGGTTTCCTAAGTTTAAAACAGTGTTCTCGATGTTAATCTAACGATTTATTATTGTTAATTTTGATGAATTAACAAATATTTTAAAATTTATCAGTTCTAACTTCTAATATGGTAAATATTAGTAGATTTAACCCACATAAACAACAATTATCCGGGGCCCCCGGTATTTCCTAAGAGCGTAAAGAGGTTCTGAGGCTGGAGTTTGAGGATTTCTGGCCCAAGCAGGCCCCTGATTAAGCGGACCAGAAACATACACAGCAGTGGTCACTGCAGCGTGATTTGTAAGAAGGGGGAAACTTAATGTCCCTTCAATCAGAGAAGGGACTAACGATGACATATTTATTCAATGGACTGTCATACAGCTGAGACACCAACGTGTGTGAACACACACGCACATCCCAGGAACGTGCTGCTGAGAAGAAAGGGAGACAAGACGGCGCCACTGATCTCTGCTTAAACAACAAACAACATCGTGTTGTGTTTCTGGATAGACACCACACGCAAGTGTCAAAGGACCTTCAAAGCACACAGCCTGGGGAGGCCACCGCCAAATTCATAATCACGACAGCCTGTGGGGAGAGTAGGGGACAGCAGGCACTTCAGCTCCTACTTGGAGGGTTCAATTTCTACTGTTTCAAAAAGGAGGGGCACTTTCCCTGCTCCTGGCCAGAAAGCAAGCCAGCCTTAGGGCGTCCTCTCCTCCAAACCTTTGCCTCCCTGAGGCAGACCCTGACCACTAGAGACCTTTCCTGGGAGCTGCTGGAATCCAAGCAGGGGATGTCTGGCCTTGACGCTGCAAGAAACACACGCAGGTCGGCTCTGAAACTGGAGATTTTGTTACAGGTCCATGGTTGCGGATGAGATTTATAAACCTGAATTTTAAAGCCTGTTAATTTTTAAGTGCCCCTTTATCTCTGTTTCAATTTCAGTCCTATGTTTTCCACTATCATTTAAACTACCTTAACCCCCAGCACACCCAGCTCAGATGGCCTTCCCATCTGGGAGCTGCTACTGTTCTCTGCTGTGTCCGACCTGCACTCCCCAGGCCTTCTTCCGTGCGCGGACACTGGAGGAAAACTGGGTAAGATGGAAAGTTTTTATGACTGATTATTTTCTGGCTTTCAAGAGTAAATGTATTAATTTCCAATAAAATATTCAACACGTATATAAAAAGAAAACAAGCACAGAAAGAGAAAGAAACTGTGTAGTCCTCAAAGAGAAAAACCCAGGGATTTCAAGGCACCAAGCAAGGGGACAACTCCACGGCTTCCAGCTCCGGCCTGGCCCCACTGGTGGAGCCCCCACACAGCATCGCTCACCCGGCCCTGCTGTGCCGCACAGTCCCCAGTTCTCATCAGAGTGCTTGGTCCTTGGCTTTTAAGTTCAAAAATCAGTGTCAGGGGGCCCGTGCCTGGCCCATGGCAGCTCATTCTGAGCATCTGGTCCCCAGGACAGTCCTCAGACCCTCAATGAGCACCTGCTATGTGCCAGAGGACAAAAACGAATGAGGTGAGGACTGAAGCGGGGTGCACGCGGCCACACGGACCAACTTCAACAATCACGCTGAGTGAGGGCAGTCAGATAGAGACCATGTGGGGTAAGACCGCGCTTCCCTGAAATGTCCAGAACAGGCAAATGGAGAAACAGGAAGCAGGTCAGTGGCTGCCAGGGGCTGGGGAGGGGAGTGGAGTGGCTGCAGGTGGGCACGAGGGATCTTCCTAGGATGAGGAAATGTTCTAAAGCAAGCCGTGGAGTTGTGTACAACTCCGCAAATTTACTAAGTCATTGGATTGTACCCTTTAATTTAAATACGTGTTTTATCCATAGTGACCTTTCACAGCTGACAATTCACTTCTGCTTGCCACCCGCCGTTTCGTGACTTCCTAGTGCGGTCCTCACCCCACCCCGACGCCAGCACCGGCCTGACGTCTCCTCTGTGCATCCAGAGGTGCCTGGTAGGTCGGTCCTCGCAAGAACTGGTAACATCTCTGCCGTCAGTCTGGGAACCGAACCCCAGGTCAGAAAGGGTGCGTGCTGAACAAAAATCGACATAAGTTGGATTCCATCAAGTCTAAAGATTTCATTAAAATTATTTCAGAGGTTTTAAACCCACTGATAATTTTTATTATAATTTTACATAAAAAGGCCAAAGGATGACAACTCTATTTCATGCAGTATTTTTTTTAACTCAGAACTGCAGTGCTATTCTAAGTGGGGTCAGGGAATTTAAATATCTCTGTTCCTTTAAAAATAGGAAAGAATGAGCTCAAAGTGTCACAGATGAAGTGACAAGAGAAGATGCCACTTGGGTCACGAGGGCATCTTTACTCAGCTGGACGCATTCCACGCGCACCGCGCATTCGGGGCCAAAGACCCCCACGTGCCCACGCTGGCCCCCTCCCGAGCGCGTGACCAGCCTCACGGAGGGTCTCGGCCCCCGCCCCGCGCGACCGCGGTACGCGAGGCGAGGCCAGGCCTGCGGGGCCTTGGACCGCGTCCCCGCCGGCCCTGCGGCCCCGGAGGGATAGAGCCCGCCCAGGCCGGTCCGGACCCACTGCGGCCGCAGCCGGCTCACCTGAACACGTGCTCTGAGCTCCAGACCCTCATCATCGCCGCCGCCGCCGCCGCCGCCGAGCGCGGGCTGGGGATGCTCGGCCCCGGGATGCTGCAGCAGGGATGCTCCGCTCCACGCGGGGCGGGGCGTGCGGACGCGAGGGGCGGGGCGGGCGGTCACGTGTGCGGCGGGCGGGGGCGGGGCTCGTCCGCGTTCCCGCGGCTCAGGCTGTCTGAACGCCCCCAGCCCCCCTGCAGCCCGGCGGGTCCCCTGGGGGAAGGACAAAGGAAAGGTCGCCAGGAGTGGAAGAGGAGGGAACCGGTGTCGGTGGTGGGTAGGCCTGCTTTAGACCAGGGCGCGCGCCCCGCACAGGACTGAAGGCCCCGGGAAGCCCACCCCTCGTGGACCAGGCGTGCGACCCCCGCGTCCCCGCTCTCCGCGAGGGGCCGCGACAGCACCTGGTCGGCGCGCACCCTCAGTCCACCTGGCAGTGGGCGCGGCCACGGGGTTCGCTACTGTCTTCATCCACAGGGGAGATGGAGGCTGATGTTTCAAAGGGATGGCTCCCAAGTCTTGGAGAGAAAGCAGTCCTGGGTTTGCGACTGGCAAAAGGCTTGCGCAGCCTTTACAAACGTTTACGTCCGTCTCAAAAAGACAAGGAACTGACAAGTGTTGGAGAGTAGCTGCTCCCAGCCCGGGGAGGAGAGGCTCTTCCCCTTCTGCACCTAGGGAAGTCTTTTTTTCCTTGTTAGGCCTGTAACCCTGCGCTACCACAAAGCCGTCGAGTGCACTCAAGTGAGATGCTAGTTTGAGAACAGGGTGGCTCCCGCAGGGTGGCCTGCGGCAGGAGGCACGGACTCCATCAGCCGGCTACTGAGCCACTGCACGACCCTGGGTGGGAGTGGGGAGCCCACCTGCGCGGGGAGCGAGTGAAGGGGAGACAGCAGGGGGCAGCCAGAGGCCTCACTGGCCGTTCCCACATGTGACTCTAACCTCCTGGTGATCCTCCCAAGGTGGTGCCACCGTCCCTGCTGTACTAATGAGCAGGCGGAGTTCACGGGGCTGACAGAGGCAGAGCTCACAGAAGGACCGCGTTTGTGAGGGTCCCCGTCACGGCCGTGCTGCAGGGACCAGCGGTGTGGCCAGGCCAGCTGTGGAACACACCCTGCGTGAGGCTCTGGGCTCAGGGCTGTCGTTTTGGTTTTAAAAAGCATTATTATTTACAATAGGCATTTTGCACAAACACGTACTGAGCATGAGGCGGAAGAAACGGGGCAGGTGGTGAGGATCAGAGGACACTGGAGTGAGAGTCTGTGGGGAAGTGAGGCCCTGGCCAGGAACCTTCTCAGTGCAGACACTCCTCCGTGGCGGAGCCGGGGTCCCAGAGCAGGCGTGACTGAGGGTGGCCCCAGTCTCGCTGTCTCTGGGCCTGCCGTGCCTTCAGGTCTACCTGGCACACAGCTGTGGGGTCCGGCCAGCCACACCCGGCTCAGGTGTCAGCCTTCTGCGGTGACATCACCACTTGTACACGCCTCCCTCTGAGACTCACCACCACATGCTATGACCGCCAGGAACTTCCGAAATACAGCAGGCACACGTAACTGACTGCTGAGCAGTAACCCTGCCTCAAGTCCGGCACTGCCACCTCCATTTTCAAAGACCACCCTTCCCCGTGAGCAGCCGCAGCATCTGGCGGGCTGCGCCCACTCCTCTGCACCTGTCAGGGAGAGTCCACACCTGCTCCTCCCACTGCCCTCTGCCGTCCACTCCATAGCCCACCTCCTCCCAGAGGAGGGCCTCCAGCCCCTCCCCCGGCCCGTGCTGCCTGAGAACTGCTGGGCACTCTCTCCTGGGAACTGCGCCCTCTCTGTTCCCCGTCCTTCTCGTCTCCCTCTGCACCTTCTCCCTGAGCGGACTCACTGCGTGTCAGTTTCCCCAGCTCCCCAGCCTGCACCTCCACCCCATCTCTCCCCACCTGCCCAGTTGCCCGCGGGCATCCCCTGCGTTCCCCTCAAATGCATCATTGCCAAGCATCCCCGTCTTCCAGGATTCACTGTTCAGCTTCACGGCGTCACCCAGGCGCCCCAAGCTAGAGCAACCCTGACCCTCCATCCAACCAGTCATCCTTTGGGATTCACCTCTTACAGACTGTTTCAACCCATCCCTTCTCCTAGATTCTGGAAGAGCCAGTATGATGTAACAGCTGTAGCTGAAGGTACGGGTTTGAAGAGGAACAAACCTGGGATCCAGTCCTGGCTCCCCTTCTGCAACCTGCTAACCTCCCCTGACATGAGTCACCACCCATGACATGGAGACACTAATAGTAGGACCCTGTGGGACTTGTGGGAAAGAATGAGGGCGGACGTAAAGTCCTGAGAGCGGTGGCTGGCGTCGCCATGACTGTGTGAGGACGCCAGCCCCACTCCGTCCACTGTCACCCCTCTCCGGGTTACCTGACAGCCTCCTAGCTGGCCCTTCAGTGGTGTCCCATCAGCCTGACCCCCCAGCTTTGGCTGGCCATCCCTGGGGTGCCCTTGCTCCTTGGTCCTCCTGGGGCTGCTCCCCACACCCCCGCCGATGCTCCACGTGTTGTTCTAGCATCTCCACACCTGTGTGTTCGTCTCTCCCACAGGCTAGAGCTCCTCAGGAGGCAGGTGAGCCTCTGTGCCTCTCTCTTACCTTTGCAGTTGGCATCTCTGGGGTGAGATCCGGGATCAGGCTTTGTTAATGGGCAGCTGGGGCAATCCTGGGGCCATAAGGCCTGGAAAGACGTCCCGCACCAGACTGAGCTCTGGGAGGGCGGGCCTGGCTCAGTTCTGTGTGCCCAGGCTCTGTCTCAGCACCTGGCAAACAGGATGCACTTGACGACTGCTTGTTCAGGGAGCCGAGGATGGCTCCGAGGGTGCCCGGGAGCGGCTCGGCCGGGGCGGGTGGGGCTCCACCCCTTGTCACCACTGCAGAGCCACCTGGTCAAGGTCCAGGAAGCCCTGGTACCTGCGGGGATCACCTGTGGGGTAAATCGAGAGGTTCTTCAATCAGCAGTCTAATGTTTGTTTTTTTCTCTATTCGTGTTCTATGTACTGAGTTCAAATTTCACTTTTACAAGTCTGCTGCTGAGAATAAGTAAGTTTGAAGACTACTGTAGCAGAATAGCTTTTTAATTTAGGGACAAAAATCCATCTCCCAGGAGGTGAGGGGCCTGGTCCTTTCCCACTGTCAGTGAGCGGTGCTCTTCACTAGGCTCTGACGTTTGCTTGATCCTCAGGTGCAGTGATTGGGAAGGTGTGCTTTGCAGGGACCCCCTCACCCCGCCGGCGGTCGGGGCCGGAGGGCAGGAGGCCCAGAGCCTAGGCAGGAGCATTATTGGAATCCAGGGGCGAGTTCTCCAGCCAACACCAGAAGTATCCCGAACCTCAACGCAGCCGAGACATTCTCACGTTTTATTAAAACAGAGTACACTTCTGACCTTTTACTTTCTATGGCACGTGCTTCTCTGTCCCAGCCCTACACACAGTTCCTGAAGCACAGCTCCAGCACACAGGCAGCCCGTCACTCCTTATTTCTGCTCCCGGGCACTTTGTTCTGTCCAATCCCTTAATGCCTCTGGCACTGCAAAGAGGGCTTATGACCAAGGGGACTGGTGTCCAAAACAGTTCTCACTTTTCTCGCAAGAAGATACAACTAGGAAAAATCTAGGAACTGTATGATTTTTGTGCACTACTGTGGCCAGCAGTTTTAGAAGAACACCTGATCACTGCCAAGTGATGACTGGGGGTACTCTGCCCTGCCATGCGTGGAACTTGCATTGCTGGGGTCTGATTCACTCTGCTGCTCACTGTCACCTGGCAGGTAGACACTGCTCTCTCTAGGACCCTTCACTGGGGCACACTTCCCAGGCACGGCAGCACAAGGTCAGGCCAAGCGGGACTTCGGCCTCCCTGCCCGGCCGCCTGTAACGGAGCAGAGCCCTTTGTGAACAAGTCTCCTTGACTTGGTGCCAGAGAGGCTCTCCGGGCAATGTATCTGGTTGGAGAACCCCAAATCCCACTCGCCTTCACCCCGTCTCCGGGACTGCTGAGAGCACCCCCTGCATCAGGACCTCCTACAGCCCCAGGGTGGGTCCAGGAACGTCTAACCACTGAGTTGGGGGGGCTTTAACTAAGGCCCTCTCAGACAGTGTCTCCCCTTGCAGCCCCCCGAAGACGGGGCCGCGCTTCAGTGAGCACGCCTAGACCACTTGGAAGCGGCCACCCTAGGAAGAGGCCGCTGGGAGGGTGAAGGCAGACCAGAGAGCCCGCCCGCCGCCTGCCAGGCCATGCTGAAATCCCACAACAGGAGCAGCTCCAGGAGAGGACTCATCTTCCCCTGCAGGTTCACTCCTTTCCCAGCTGTCAACCTCTTGTCACAGACACAGCTGTTGTCTAGACGCTCTTTTTCAAAACCCAAATCCAAATCCAAACAAAGCCCACTAAAAAAGCAACAACAATAAAAAAAGAAAGAAAAAAGAAAAGAAAGCAGACTAGAAATAAGGAGTCTATCCCAACAGCCAAGCCTCTACCCAGCAAGCCTGCCACGAGCGCGCGCAGTCGGTACCGGGAGCCCCGTGCCAGTACGGCCAGCCTGCTTCCCTCCGCGTCACTGCGTGGCCAGTACAAGCTGGCGGATGCAGAAAGCTGGCTAACCGACGGCTCCCTGAATTATAGTATCACTTTTCACTTGGACCTCTATCGCCAGCACTTGAAAAAATGGGAGGAGAGCCCTCCTACCCAGTTTTTCATGGTGCTTTGCCAAAACAAGGGCCTCGGTAAGAAACGCGAGGCTAGTTCAGATCTCACTCCCTGGTGTTGCATCTCAGCCTGAGGGTCCTCTCCACTTCCTCCTTCCCCAGGGGGCAGCCGCTCCCCCTTCCGACGGTTCACTCACATCTACCCGACCTCTCCTCCCTCACACTCACCTCCTCCCGACAGGAGGGCCCCTCCCCAGCTCTCCCACCCCCATCTCTCGACCCAGGGACAGGTCCAGCGCACCCCCACCCACAGCGGCGCTCAGCACCAGCACTCTGGGGTCGGGAGGCCCCCAGTGGAGAGGTGGCTGGCCACTGTGCCCGCACCCTTCTCATCCTCAGAGCTGTACGACTGGAAGGGTCCATCTGAGGGTTTGGGGTGGGGGGGAACCCGAGCAAGTCCTTGATTTCGACTGAGGAATACTGCACACCCATTTCCCCACTTGGGCGTGCGGCCTAACCCTCCTCAACATCCTGCTCTCCAGGGAAGAGAAGGCACTGATTGTAAGTACTGCAAGGGAGGGACCTGAGAAAACAAATGGAAAAGGTCCAGGGCACGCTGCAGACCAGCCTGGAGGCCAGGTCGTTCCCGACACCGACACTGGGTGGGGCCATCGGGAAGAAAGCAGCGCCTCACACGTTTCAGCCGTCTGACTCTCAAGGACACTCAGTCGGCCAGGAAGAAACCCTGAAGTTGGAGCAGGGTTCAGGGAGCCAACCAAGGATGGAAGGAAAATCCCTCGGCCTTCCCCGAGAGCCCCAGGGAGTGCCTCTGGGTGTGCACGAACGTGAGCCCAGAGTCAGCAGAAGGGCAGGCCATTCTTCAGTCCCGTTTCATTCCCAGAGCGCCCCAGACTTTAGGAGAAAGTTACAGAGGTTGGAGCTAGGGCCCAGCACACCCACTTCCTGGCTGATGGGGCCCCCACTCCTGCCACTGCAACATCGAGGAGTGTCCCCAGGATTCAGAGACCACACCTGCAGTGGAGAGAGGCCCTCAGAGCCATCAGTGTGCACACTGCACACAGCAGGGCCACTGGCAGAGGTGTCTCCAGACGTCTGAGAGGAAGCTAAGTGGACTGCGTGTCCTGGCCACCTCTCACACAAGGAAGAAGAGGAGGACTGGAGGGGCCCAGGGCCTCCTCGGAGAACCCTGGAACTTACCCCCGAGGAGCCTCGGCTGACCCTGACAACAGGGGGCGAGAAGGTTGGCCACCTCCTCGGTCTTGAACACCCGACGGCAGAACGCCCAAAGGTAAGTGTAAGACACAGGGAGTGGAAGAGAAGCCCCAGGGGCACAGTTTTCTGGAGCCCCTTGAGTGCGACTTGGAAGGGAAAGTGTCATCTCACTCTCTTATGTGTCCCAAATGCCCGATTCCCCTAATAGGAAGAGACATTATACAAACTGGGAGCCACAACCTACCCCTAAGACAAAACCCTGACCATCGGAACACCCCACTCCCCTCCATCCTGCAGCCCCAGCGCTGGGCCCTCCACTGACAATAACAGCCCACGTAACCTTGAGGGGTTAGTCCGTCAGTGTCAGCGTGGGCCTCTGACACCACCAGGCGTAGGGCCAGGGGCACCACCAGTCGTAGTCAAGCTGTGACCCGGTCACCAGCACCCAGATAACAAACGAGAGGCCTTAAGCAAGGAGGCCCAGCGGGCATTAGCCCCAGAACAGAAAGCCTGCTCGAACCATGGCTCCTTAGACACCCAGCCCCGTCGGCACGCCTGCCCCCAGGAAAGGAGCCAGTGGGAGCGCCAGCCAGCTCAGGACCTCCGGCCGAAACTGAAGCCACTGAGGAGACTCACCCCCTGGTCCCCAGCTACCCCTGGCTTTCCACCCGAGTCCCTGAGAGGACCTGGTACTCAGGGCTGGGTTTAAAGGACACCTTCTTTTGTGCGCCCTGAGCTCTGGAATATCCTCCCAAGGGGTGTAAAAAGCTCCCCGCCCTCCGAGGAAAGCTTTCAGCCGAGGGCTTTGATGGCCTGCAGTTAGAACAAGGTCTGTACCTCGACGTGTGGAAGACATTCGAGCCCCCAGCCCCACCAGCGAGCTTTCTGAGCACAGCTGACCCCTTAAGCCATCCAGCTGAGGCGGGATAGAACGTTTCAAGGAAGAAGCCCAGCCCTCCCTCAGCAGGCAGGGCGCCGGGCTCTGCTGCCCGCGGTTCCCCAGCTTTGGCTTAAAGGCTAAGCCCTCGTATGAACAGCTAAAAGGGAAGGACCCTGACCACTTCGCGTGGACCCCCAGTTGTGACCGGCCGCTCCTGGAACTGAAAGACCAGCTCGTGAGCCCCTGCGTTACCTTCGCAGCCTGAGCCGCCCCTTCGTCTGCGTGGGGCTCACACAAAACTGGGGCCTCTGACTCGGGCCTGTCTTCCTAAGCAACCGGGCCAAGCGCTGAAGGAAGCCTCCATGCTTGCGGCTGCAGCTGCTGCCTCCCAGCGCCTCCCAGAGGCTAACGAATTAGCTTTGGGACAGCCCCTGACCGTCCGGACCCCCGCCACCTCCAGCCCCTCATTAGGAGAGAAGCCAGACCAGTTGTCCCCTGGCGAACCCTGCATGTCCAAGGCGTGCTTCTAGACACCCGTCTGTGACGTCCCTGCGACCCCAGACGCGGCCGTGAGGGAGTCATGGAGCAGGTTCACGCCAGCAGGCCCGCCGCAGAGAGCTCCCCTGTACAGAATGCAGAGCTGAACAGTCCACCGACGGGAGTTGCTGAAGGCAGGATACAGGGTGGTTTCCGTCACAGAAGGGGGCTGCCTGTTCTGCCCAGGAGGCCAAGCTAACTGCCCTAATCAGGCCCCCAGAACTATCTGCATGGCTCTAAATGTGCCTGTTCAACACTACACTCGTGGGGCCATCTGCAGGGAGAGGGGAATGC